GTGTGTGTGTGTGTATGGCATGTATTCACACCACTCCATTGCGGTGGATAGCTAAACAGCACACATACACACTGTGAGTGCGCATGACTCTGTGCACACACGCACACACCAACGCGTGATAACCCCATCGACACCCCCTCGTTTAACAGGTTCTAGTTACCATGTATTACGTCGTTGTTGTGTGTGTAGGTAAGGAAGTTAAGTGGCGCTACTAGCTGGCCCTCTCTCTACCACACATTGTTTCCCATGCCTCAGCCCGCGTGCCTAATCTCTTTTGTGTGCACGTGGTGATGGTTGTAGTATACACTGACATGGAGGGGCGTGTATGTGTGCTATATCAACTATACCCTAAACACCTAAACCCTAAAGCCTATAACCATTCACCCAACACTTCTATTCATATACACACCCTTATCTATTTTATGGATATACGAGACACACCCTCATCTACTTAATAAATACATATATACTTGTCTACATTACACACACCCACCCTTATCTACCTAATAAATAGACATATACCTGTCTACTTGTATACACATACACACCCGTCTACCTTCTCTACCATTGCACATCAACCAATACACACACATATATAGTGGTCTAATTATATACACATACACGCCCAATCACCTTCTCTACCATCGCTCATGGGCAACCAACAAATCCGCATACATGTACATGCACTCGTATACACACACACTCCCCCACTTTCACCCTTCCGACTTCTTCTCTCTCTCTCTCACTTACCTTCCAGATCGTTATACCGTGCAATATCCCTCCTGAGTGTGCGGATGATAATGATGGCGACGATACCAGACAGGAACAGCACAATCAACAGACTATTGAGCATGGATAGCCAATGTACACGCGCATCCGACATGGACAGATACATATCCCACCGAGACGCCCAGGGAATGTCACTCTTCTGCAATTACCAGCCGAACAAAGCAAGGAGAGTGTAGGTATGAATGGTGTTGAATAGGTACACAACTGTATATGTTAACGACTTGGAAAGGTGTGTAAAATATGTTTGTGGGTGGGTATGTGTATGTGATTGGATCTGGAATGGGCAGATACATATCTTACTGCGAGATTGATATATTGTATGTATATGTATATATATAAATATATATAGATCTATATATCGGTATATCTATATATATATATTCATATACATATATATACATGTATATATATACATATATATATGTATATATATATATATATTTATATATATATACATATACATATATATATACACGTATAGCATGCGTCCACAATTTCCATGCGACTTTACTAGTTTCATGCCCTTCTTGTATGCCTGCCTTGCCTTTCAGTTCCCTCTCGTACAGACACCCCAGTACTCTCTCTCTCGACACTTCTCTCCGTACCATATTGCACAGTTCCTATGCGTAGTAGACATATACTTGCAACCAATACATACCTCCCATGCGACTGAGTAGGTCCAATTGATGGTTGTTTTGGCATCTTTCTTTATCTCCTTATGTACCAGCTTCCTCGTGGTGAGCAGACATTTGCCGTCCGTGACCTTGAGGATATCTTCGTGTATGCTGCGATCCCAAATACATACAAACAACTCGATTAAATTGGGATAATTTCAGTTTTTTGTTTTGGGGTTGGCTTTAGATATTTGTATCTCATCGCTCCGATTCGGCTACAGGCCACTGTGACTCCTCATGACCGTCTTCACGGGCAATGTCAGTCAAAAAAAGTTCGTACTTAAAACTTTAAACCTCGGTGTCAACCCGCCCAACAGGGATGGCATCATGTTATAAGAATTGTGGGATGGATCCACGGGTATTACATTAAGTTCAGTATATGTCGATATCTTTACGTTACACGAAGTTAGTTGCAGTGTAGTAGGCATCGTACCAAGTTGACGTGACATGCTGTGGCGCGGCAGTACAAGGCCTGTATAGCAACACCTACACCTTGGCTAGGTACAAACAGCGGTGATTGGTATTGTATCTGTGTCGTTAGTCCGTCTATAGGTATATTATATGGTACACTATCCGGGAAGGGAGACCAAAATACGCCAAGGGAGTTGATCAACACAGGATATTGTATATACATTT